AGAGCTGGTGCACGCAAAACAGAGCTAGCGCCAGCACCAGCTAATTGGCGTCAGGCGCCAATGGCTAGCACCAGGCGCCAATGGCTGGCGCCAGGCGCCAGGCCTGGTTCCAGGCGCCAATGCCTGGAGTCAGGTGCCAGGCCTGTTTTTGACGCGTTTTCGAAAATCAGATAAGTTTGCCGTACTGGAGGATAAAATCGTATCTTTTCTCGAAAATGCTTTTTGATTTTAATTAAAACTCTGAAAAGTCAACAAAAGTCAATTTATCAATGCTAATTGAATTAGGAATGAAAAGAACCTTCTAGAAGAATCTAGAAGACTAAAACCATTCCTAATTGCATTAGGAATGATAAATCATATTAGGCCCTCCCCTAGATCATTGGGCCGCATATAAAGCTCAAACCGGGCCCAGTTTAGTAAATTGGCCATAACTTCCTCAATATTCATGGGAATTGGGCTTATAATATATCGTTGGAAAGGTCTTGTCAAGCCCCATCCAACTACACTACTATTGGACCCATATCATGGACCAACCAAACTGGATTGGCTGTTTTCTTAAAATAAGTTTTCAAAAACAGAGAGAAGAGAAAAGAAATTAAAACTATCCGCAACACTAAATTTTCCACACTTTTGCTTCATTCGGTTATGATTCGACGCAAAAGGTACTCATCACCGGGTTTGGTTTTGGGGAGACACAAATGGGTGTCTACACTATTTTCCTCTTTTCGTGCCTTTAAACCCAAAATATATCATTTCGTGTCCTTTAAAATCATTCTTTTCGTATCCTTTTTATAAAAACGTTTAATCCAGTTTATTTTGGTCCATAATCTGGGTCCAATGATTGAATAATCGGATGGGGCTTGAAAAGAGATTTCCAACGATATATTATAAGCCCAAATCCGAGTTATAACGAATAAGTTATGGCCAAAATATTAAACCGAGCCCAAACCGAACCTAAGCCCACCTTACCTACGACCCAATGATCATGTGGAGGGTCCAAATTATTTAATCCCATTCCTAAACCAATTAGGATTCATTGGATGCTTCTATAAGTTTCTAAAAGATCTTAATTATCCTTTTTGAAAAGATAAGATTAAATAGTTTGAAATTGAATAAAACTCCTTTTTTTGAAAATCCTATTTATATCCGAATTGAAAGATGTTCAAAGATATACAAATATTATTTTCTTTAGTCGTGGTTTTTATCCAAATTTTATATGGTTGGATAGCCCTTGAAATTATCTTTCCAATGATATATTATAATATCAATTCCGAGCTATAACGGAAAAGATATGAATAAAATGTCAAACTCTATCCAAAACTGACACCGTCCCACTATTTCGTCTATATCTTTTATTCTATAAAATATTTTAATCTGATTCTAATTGGGTTAGAAAGTAGACTTCAAGAGATTTCCAACGATATCTTATTTATCTTATTTCTATTTTTGGATCAAAAGATATGATAAAAACAAAAACCGCAAAAACTGCTGTCTATCGCAAGAATTTTAATCCGATTCGAACTCGATCTTTTCTTGATTCTTCGACCTTCTTTTTTCTCTATAAATAGAGGTCATATCACCCCTTTTTCAATTATCAACAATCTTGATCACAAAATAATTCTCTCCCTCTTTAGCCTAAACACTAGCCTCCCCATTCTTTCACTATTTCTTCCTTTAAGCACTCCAAGGAGTCCATACAATACCTGAAGTTCTATACTTTAACCAAGGCGTGATAGGTAGAATTAACTGAGGGTTTGGACCAAATCAACTCTACTTTTAATTTAATTTAATTTCCATTTACTTTATATTTTTATTGAAGTTACTAATAGTTTATTCATGATGTAGCAATTTAAAGGAACGCGCGAAATGTGAGTAATTAATTAATTTAATTACTCTTATTTTATTTTAATATTGCTTCATGATTAGGTTATTTTATATTTGATTTGGCTAACGCTATTATTGTTAAATTGCTTCCAATATTAATGTTTGTTCTATTATTATTTATTGATCACCATATTGCATGTTTAAAGGGAATATGTAATTGAAAATCACGCCTAATAAGATAATTTAGAGGACCGGTTTAGGTTCCTTTTTAATCTTGTTGTTTAATCAAGTGATCACAATATTTTAGAATTAATGTGTTTCATTAATGTTAAACCAGTTTAGCTTAATAATAGTTTGGAGCGGATTGAATATTTTGTTTGTATGCCTTTGAGATCGCAGGAATCACTATTCACTATAAGAATCGAGTAGAGGCCAGTACGGGCGAATGTGACTCCATGACTCACTTTGTATCATCATCCCCGATCCTCCTTTCGTGGTTCCGAACCATATGGAGTTAGTAATCTCATGGATTATGAATGGGGTGTAACCTTCACGGGTCAATCGTTGTTGCCTATCATTGTCCCTTTATCGTGGTTGCCTTTTATGATCCGTGAACGGTTTACAAGTTCCTTAAAAAACTTGTTCGCGGCTCCCTACTTTCCTTGTCCCTAATCGTATATGTCAATTTCCACTTCCTATGAGTGCCAAGCATATTCACACATGCTTTCAACGTAGGCGCACTTCGAGCGACGCCTACAGCGACGTGTTTTATTCCTTTGCAAACTCCGATTCTTTTTTTATCATATCCGGACTATTTTCATTATAAATAGCGTCCTTAGACCTTCATCAATTGGCACCCAGAATTCTCTAATTCTTCTCTTCTCTCTTTTAAGCAATATAGCTTATTATTTCTCTCTCTTTTTCTAACCCAACCTTTTTACAAACAAAATTCCGCATTCACAAGATCTAGACACACCTAGCATAATTTGAAGTTGCCTTCGCCCTAGACGTGAAAGGATTGGTATTTTCTGAGGGTTTGGTCCCAAATCACTATTTCAATTATTTAATTTAGTTCTTTGATTTTATTATTTTCCTTGAAACTACTAACGTGTGTATTTTGTTAGTAGAAAGAGGTACGAGGCGTCCAAGTAAGTATTTTAATTGTTTAATTGATATTATAATATAGAAATCATGTTTAGATTGTTATTTTGATTCCTAGTATCATGTTAGGATGTTTTATTGCTTCCTAGTATCATGTTTAGGGTTAACTAAAAATTCCTAATATCAAGTATGATTGTTGTGATGCTTCTTATTGTCTTTCCTAATATTCATGTTAGTATCATGTTAGGGTTAAATCTTTGATTTTTATTGTTTAGTGACATGCTAGGGTTTGTTATTAATCTTGTTAGTATCATGACTAGGATCTTGCTATTATTATGCTTTAAATATAATAATTATGCTTATGATTAATATTATATTGCTTGATTTATTATTGTTTTTGCTTGATCACACCTTTTATGCATGTTTAAAGGGAATTTGTACTTGTAATCACGCTTAATAAGATAATTAATAATCTTGTTTAGGGTTAATTTGATTATAATTCAAGTAATCGCCAATCATAGTTTTGTTTGTGCATTAATATTCAACCAACATAGATTAAACAGGTTTAGGGTAAACCTATTGATTGCATGTTAGTCAGAAAGCGCACATGAATACGAGTAGAATAAAGTAGAGGCCTATTATTAGGGCAAGTTCTTTCTCTTAGCTTTTAGATTGGATTTGTACCTTCATCCCCGAACTTCCAGTCTTGGTTCCAGACCTATTGGAGTTAACGATCTCTTGGATCGTTAAGGGGTGTAACCTTCACCCTGTGAACGGTTTACAAGTTCCTAAAACTTGTTGGCGACTCTTTTGCTCTAGCTTCCTTCCCTTTGGACGCCACCATGCTTTAGTGTATGATCACAGTGGGGTTCAAGGTTGGGATAATGCTTGAAATATTCCCTATACTGTTCTAATAGACTGAACTGAACTGAACTGAACTGAACTGAACTATACTGATATGAATATTTTATAAGAGAAGGAAATTAGGAGCTGAACTAAACTGAACTGAAATGAATATTTTATAAGAGAAGGAAATTAAGAGTTGAATTGAACTGAACTGAAAATAAACGTATGAGAATAGACCCTAAGTTATGCCTTGACTCCTAAAGTCTAGTAACTCTTAGCCATCGTGTTCAAGTCGTAGCTCGAGCCAACCCCTTTGCTAAATCTCGCTGTGCCCTAGCCCCCATAAGCAATCCTATGTCCAAGGCTATGCCCATGGCCCTTGGCCATGAGGCCACTCAAGGATGGCCACCAACCCGTGAGTGAGCACCTTCCCCCTAAAGAGTCTTATATTGATTTGGTCAAGTAATACCAGTGAACACCCAATTGCCGGAACACAATAATGGTCCCATGGGTCATTCTCGTGCCCATGGTCCCATCGAGGGTGTGGTTGAGAGAGGTTACTAGGACCTCGAGTGTCCCGCCCTTGCGGGACAAGGCCAAAGGATACCTAGGCAAGCCTAACACAATGGGTGGAAGGTCATAATCAGGACTAGGCATGACCCTGCCATGGGGCTGACACGCCGAGGTCGTGGCCACATCAGCGGTGGGAGCACTAGCCCCCGTCTTTGACTGTGACAGTAGTCCGATAGTAACCCTATTGTTGGATTTTCTAGACCAAGGCCTTTGCATTCATGTGCATTCCACATATTCCGGCATGAAGAGTTTCCATTGTTTATTGGGTTATTTAACTTTTATTGTTTTTGTAAAAAGTTAAAATTGTTTATTTAATTGAATATAGTGTACCATATTGAAAAACGACATTTAAGAAGATCCTACCATTGAAAAATATATTACATGAGTTATAAATTAAGAATTGAATTGAGTATCACAATTGAGTAGAGTCTCACCGTGGAGATTGGTTTTGTAGGCCGCCGCTGCGGCCAATTGTGACCTCACTCACACGTTGTGACCACCTCACCATAGTCCACAAACAAACTATTCACCAGTCACCACAATAGTCGTCAACTTTTACTTTCTATAACCCAAACCAACGATTGCAAAAATTCTAGACCCTTCCAAAAAATATCCCCAAAAAATCTAAACCGTCCATTGAAGCCCAAATAAAAGAAGAACCTAAAGAATAGAATCAAACCCTTTTGTCGCCGTCGTCGTGCTCTGCTTTCTCTCTCTCTCTCTTCTACCCCAGATCGAACCAAGATCGATTGGTTCGTCTCTTTCTCTCTCCTCTCAAATTCACCTCTTGTTTAGGATCTCAACCAACTAATTTCTGGGGTTTTTTATACAATTTTTGCAGAGGAAGAGAGGAGATTCTAAGAGTAAGTAAGAGAAGAGAAGATGTTTGGGAGAGCACCTAAGAAGAGCGATAATACTCGCTATTATGAAGTTTTAGGAGTTCCTAAGACTGCTTCTCCTGAAGATCTTAAGAAGGCTTATAAGAAAGCTGCCATTAAGAATCATCCTGATAAGGGTGGTGATCCTGAAAAGGTAATTTGTTTTGATTTTGTTTTGGGAATTTGTTTTGTTTTGTTTTTTTTTTATTATTGTTATTTTTTATTGAATTCTTGATTTTTTGTTTGTTAATTGTTCTGGGTTTGGGAAATTATCGATTTATGTTTGTTGATTGTTCTGGGTTTGGAAGATATCTGATTTATATGTGTTGATTTTTCTGGGGGTTTTTGTGAATTTTGATTTTTAGTTTCTGATCTGTTTAGGTGATTATTTGATTGGGTGAATTGGGTTTGAAGATTTATGTTGTTGATTTGATCTGCCTGCTGAATTTGGTATTTGATGCGTTCTAAAATTGGAAAATCATGTTAATTGAAATCATTATTGTGTGGTTAAGCTTGTATTGGACTAAATTGAGTGAAAGAACGATTCTGCGGATTAAGTTCATTAGGTTCTTGAGTTTATGTCATGATTTTGGCAGATTTTAGGGTTGTTTTAGATGATTCAAGTTGATGTATGGACAATGTAAATCTAAATTCAGCATAGAGAGAAATTGAGTACCGTGGTACACAGAATTTGGCAAATTTTAAGGTTGTTTTAGGCTTTTAGCTGTATTAGAATGGTGTATGGACAATGTAAATCTACAGTCAGCATAGAGATATAACGAATATCATTATACACACTATTTCTACTACTAATCATCGAGATTACACGAACGGTTTTCCCATGTCAAAGTCAAAAATGTGAAGAGCACAGGGCACTAAGCCGGGTGCAGGGAGTGAATGAATAGGTACTAAAGCAGCCAATAGCCCACTTCTTGAACCAAGAATCAGCCATTGCTGTGATCGCCCTAATTAGTTTCTTTTGCACTTCACACTACACTACAGCCACCACAAGTCACTCAATTTCATTCACCCCTAAGCAGAAGACCCTAGAACCCAATTTCTCTCTCAAAACAATAAAAGTGTGCACTTTAGAAGCTGGAGAGGAACAAGAGATGGGAGTATTTGACAATCCTTAGTAAAATTTAGATTTTAATCTGTCTGGGTTGCAGATTGGGGGCAAAAAAATAGCAACCACTGTGGTCTTCAATTTGTCAATTGTGACGTAGTCTTGATTTCAAACTGTGCTTGATGTTTTAGATTCTTTGCTTTGTGGATGTTTTATGTTATATGTTATTTGATTCCTTTTTTTATTTATTAAGCTTATTGTTAACTTTTGATTATGAACAGTTTAAGGAATTGGCACATGCATATGAAGTTCTAAGTGATCCTGAAAAGCGAGAAATATATGATCAGTATGGAGAGGATGCCTTGAAGGAAGGGATGGGTGGTGGCGGTGGAGGCCATGACCCATTTGATATATTCTCTTCTTTCTTTGGGGGTAGTCCGTTTGGCGGTAAGTATGAAATTCCTGAAATTGTGTCTGCTTTGAAGTACTCCACTTCTGGGTATTTGTATTAATGAGTGTTTGTCATGTATTGGATGTGAGGTAGGCGGTGGTGGGAGTAGCAGAGGACGAAGGCAAAGAAGGGGAGAGGATGTTATCCATCCTTTGAAGGTTTCTTTGGACGATGTGTACAATGGTTCGTCAAAGAAGCTTTCCCTTTCCCGCAACGTTATCTGCTCCAAGTGCAAGGGGTGAGTTACTTTAATTTGAAAACTATCAGTTTCATATTCAAGGGTAAGAATCTTCTATCCATTGGCATATGTATAATATCTTTGGTGCTTAATTTGCAGAAAGGGATCGAAATCTGGTGCTTCTATGAAATGTGCTGGATGCCAAGGATCTGGAGTGAAAATCTCAATCAGGCATCTTGGTCCTTCCATGATCCAGCAGATGCAACATGCTTGTAATGACTGCAAGGGTACTGGTGAGACCATCAGTGACAAGGATCGTTGCCCACAATGCAAGGGTGAGAAGGTTGTCCAGGAAAAGAAAGTTTTGGAAGTTCATGTTGAGAAGGGGATGCAGAATGGCCAAAAGATCACATTTCCCGGAGAAGCTGATGAAGCGGTATTAACTTGTTGCTTGGGATATTCATTTTTCTGTTCTGTTTAAGTTGATTTACTTGATTAACTTTTTAATCCTTGTTTTTTCTAATTGAATTTCATTTTTTGTTGCAGCCTGAAACTGTCACTGGCGACATTGTCTTCATCCTACAGCAGAAGGAGCACCCAAAATTCAAGCGAAAGGGTGATGACCTTTTCTATGAGCATACCCTTTCCTTGACCGAGGCTCTCTGTGGGTTTCAGTTTGTATTAACCCATTTGGATAATAGACAATTGCTAATCAAATCTCAGCCTGGAGAAGTTGTCAAGCCAGGTAATAATTAATTGTTTGAACCATGATATATGTATTCAACTTTGTTTGAGTCCCCTAGGAGGGGAACTAAGTTTGAATTTTTTCTTGCCTTAAAGCTCTCAGATTCCTTGCTTGTTGTCTGTCATCCTTTTAGTTATTGAGCTTAACTTGCTCAATCCACTAATCATCAAGTGCTGACATCTGTCTATGGGGTTTCATGTAGACTCCTTCAAGGCAATCAATGATGAAGGGATGCCTATGTATCAGAGACCCTTCATGAAAGGCAAGTTGTATATCCATTTCACAGTTGAATTCCCTGAGTCCTTGGCAATGGACCAGTGCAAGGCTTTGGAATCTGTGCTTCCTCCAAGGTCCTCACCCAAGCTAACTGATATGGAATTGGATGAATGCGAGGAGACCACTTTAAATGATGTCAATATTGATGAGGAAATGCGCAGGAAAGAGGCCCGAGCCCAGCAAGAGGCTTACGATGAGGATGAAGACATGCATGGTGGTGCCCAAAGGGTTCAGTGTGCTCAGCAATAATTCAAGAGTGAGTTGAGTTAATTGAATCATGGGGCAGGGCCCTGCTGAGGACCTGAGGGGACTAAACGCTCTTCAAGTGATGGGCGTTCAAAGATTTAATTGTTGCTTACCGGCAAGAATAAGTTTATTTAGTTGTTCTAGTAGTAGTCTAGATTCATAGATGCCTTTGAAGAATTCTTGTCGAGCAAAAGTGTCAAATTTTCTTGTGGGTAACAGGATTTTCATGGTACCTAAAATGATTAGGCCTGTGTAGAACATTTTTTTGCTTCCTATGATAATATTTGTTGCTAATTCTGTTAATTTGATTTGTATTGTCACGAAAGAAAATATTTACTATGGATGGCAGGATGGGGGTAGACATCCACCTTTGAATCTCATGTTTTTTTTCTACTCCGGGATTTGGTAGGTAACAAATACACAAGTTGTTAAAGATAGTCAGTTGAAGCACAATCAATGAGTACGTGCGCACAAAGTTGTGATGATGCTCAACGATGTAATGACAATGCTTGATCAACGCACATTGGCTTTCCAACGCCATAGCGTGCCAAATAGCATATATGAGCAGCGCTATGGCTTCCTGGTGGTTGGTGGTATGCCATGGCTGGATATGGGATGCTTGGCTGCAAGTCTTTGCTTGATCTACAACAACTCTGACTCAACTTAGTCACTAGTGTCTAGCCATGCAATTATCACATCAACCCTGAAGATCAATTAATAAAGCAAACAACTCAATAATTGTCACTGACCATTTTTAAATATTAACTTTTGTAGCAAAACACCTTGTTTTCAATATATTTAGGAAAAATTGCAAATAATAATACAATCTTTGGCCGTTTCATTTTTAATAATACATTTCGATTATTTATTAATATTATAACCTTTAGGGGGTGCTGGATTTTACAGGCTAAAATACTTGTAACCTGTTGGACAGGTTACCCATGACACGTGTTGCCGTGTAATTGGTTTACAATTTTAAAAAACTAAAATTTCAAATAAAATTGTTTAATTAACTTTTAATTTTTTTATTAAAATAATTTTAATTAAATCTTTCAAAAAAATTAATTAAAAAAAAAAAAAAAATATCCACCCACCACCTCTCCCCTGTTTTCTTCACTCCCCTGCCATCACCTCACAACCCCACATCCCTAGTCCCTCACTGCCACCACCGCCACCACAATCAGCACCACCTCCAAGCACCACCAATCATCATCCCATGAATCCCCTCGCCAACATCCACAACAACTCCCATCACCTTCGCCACGCCAACAACAAGAAGCAGAGCAGCCACCACGTACTGCTGCCTCCAATCGCCACCAATCACCCCCAACAACCACTAACCTCAAACCACATATCCCCTGCATCATAGCAGCTCCGCCACCGCACAAACTTGCATCCACCAGCCACCAAATCTTCTCCCTCACTTATCCAACATCGACCACATCCAGCTAAAACACCTCTACACTCCGCAAACTCCGGCGACCAACACTTCAATCCTGCAATTACATACCCTACACTACTCTCTCACCTTCCTGCAACAACAGCTACTCCGCCACCGTTTACAGCTCTCACCGTTGTAACAAAATCGAGCAGCGAACCACCTGACCACCTTCCATAGCCGCGCCATCAACTGCAACTAGCCGACAACAATTCTCAACTATCGCTGCTCGAACATCATTGCAGCCGCATAAACGAACCTCAATTAAGCCCCAATTTGATTGGAACTGTTCGCGGGCGCGCATCCATACATCACGGCCTTGATTTGATGCTCGATGATTGTGGTTGAGGATGAATGGTGGTGATTCAATGATGATGATTGATGGTGGAGCTTGGTGAAGTGCGGTGGAATCGAGGTTGCGGTGGATTAGGGTTTCGTTTAGATGGGTGGCGCGACGGGTAAGAGGAGGTCGTGGTAACAGGGGTAGGTCGGTGGCGCGACGGGTAAGGGGAAGTAATTGTGAGCTGGACGCCAGCCGTGGGTTGGGGTGAGAAGGGAGTTGGTGAAGGGGAGGAGGAGAAGAAATGGTGAAGGTGGTGGCAGGTGGATTATTTTTTAAAAAACAATATTTGTAAAAGTTACAGTATTTTATTATTTAATATATTTTTAAAATAAAGAATATTAAATAAATTTTTAAAAATCAAATTAAATTAACAAAACCGATAAAATAACAACACGTGACATTGTAACCTGTAAAAATAGGTTACCAACCGGTTTTTGCCTGTTAAAGTTCAACACCCCCAAAGTTTGTAATATTAATAAATAATCGAAAGGTTGTATTATTAAAAAAGAACTGGTCAAAGGTTGTATTATTATTTGCAATTTTTCCTATAAACTATCCAATTGTCAACCAATATATGCCTCTAAGTATTGTAAAAAGCATCCAAATAATAGTGAAATCACCTAAAATATTAAGAAATTTCATGTGATGCATAACAGATTACGGAGTACAATATGATAACTTATATAGAAGTAACCGCCACCCTAAAAACAAATTAAAAGACCTAAACCAAACTATGAAGACAATACATAAGTTAATAATTGAGTTTAAAAGCAGCAAAACAATCAAACAATAATGACGATAAAAATTACGACTATAAGAACAATGTCCGAAGTAAGAGACACAAATCTAAGTATGGACTAATAATGATGAATAATATTTGAGATTTTAGTATTAAGGAGTTATAAAATGTATCAGACCATGTTCGAATGAATTCTATTACAAAGAGTGTGCTTATTTGTACAAATTTGTAAATCTAATATAGGTAATTGTTGAAGAATCTCTATTGTTTTGGTAATGTTGACAACGTTGATTGGAATCTTCATCGATTAGGAAACGTTAACGTAGTTGATTCGCTCCTCAAATCAAGGGACATAATTGTGCTTACCGGCCAAGCATTCACAGCGCATCATTAAAGGGTCTGGACTCGGAAGGGCAGTTGGCGAATTTAATAAGGGTTAAAAGGACAATTGATAAACTTAGAATGGGTCAGAAGGACAGTTGGCGAACTTAGAAAGGCTCAGAAAGGGTAGGTGAGTCTGTATAGTCAATAATCAGTTTTGACCGTTGCCTGGACAAGATTCCGCTAATCAAGTGATTTATTTCATGGAATTGCTTTTATTCATTGATTCTGCAGACTTAGTCTATTTCAAAGATCTTTTATTGATTTAGTTAACTCAGGTACTTTATTGGTCCAATCAAATCCTTGATTGATGAGCTGTGATTCTATTGAACGTTTTTTGATAACTTTGACAAAAAATGCATCTTTCCTTTCTTAGCTACTAAGAATCTATTTCCAATAATAATTGAACATTAAATTTTGTTCATCATTTTATGAACAAATTTTTTCTACGGAAATTCTCTTTGGAACACTATAGTTTTTAAATTTCTTAATGGTGAATTGTAAAAAACCTTATTATCTTTGGTAAATCTGAATTATTGATTGCCAAAGAGAATAGCTATTATAATATAAATTCACTAACCATGGTTAATTTCTTTTATTGTTTAATAATTAAATTGTTTTAAAAAAAACACAAACCTTTCCTCCACTGAGACACCCGCTCATACCACCCAGACCACCACCATCCCAAAACTCCAAACGCCCAAACCACCGTCGGTGACCACCCTCCCCTCTCTCTCCTTTGACCGAACATTCTCCTTCCATCTCCGGTGGCCCCCTCCTTATCGGTGAAAAACACCTTTTCAAACCCTAAAACCGAACAAACGTAACCCTAAAATCGAGCAAAATTAATCCTCAAATCAAACCTTAAAACCAAGAAAAATCAAACCCTAAAGCTTTGAAAATTTGAAGAATTAATCTGATTTCATTAGGGAGGAGAGATTGAGAATTTGAGGGATTTTCGAGGGGGATTTCTAGGCTTAGGGATTTGGTTTTGGGGAAGGGTGGAGGTTTAGGGGGAAGAGAGGCGAGCCGAAGGGTGGGGGAGGCCGGTGCACCGGCAAAGAAGGTGAGGCTGGGCGCTGACGTGGGTAGGAGCGAAGGTGGACGTGGCTGGCTATTGGGGAGATGGGTGGTTTTTTTTTAATAAATATATTTCTAAAATAAATGTAAGAAAAAAAAACTATACTTAAATATTTAGTTAAAATTTATCATTAATGTTATAATTGAATTAGTATACAAAATATTGGTTTACCAAAGATAATATTCCCTCCGTCCCCTTTTGATAGTCACTTTTGGTAGAAAATCACGGGAATTAATAAACATAAATAATAAGTAGCAAAAGTACATTGAAAAAGTAAATTTACATTGGTTATACAAAAAAGTAGAGAGAGAAAGTAATTAAAATACATGAAAACCTAAAATTTACATGGAAAAGTTAAATGTGCACAAATATTTTTGCAAATTGGAGAAGATTTTGGTAAAAAATAATATTAATGATACTTGAAAAAACAAATGTGACTAACATTTTGGGTTACCAAAAAATGATATAAGTGACTATCAAAAGGGGACAGAGAGAATAAAATTTTTCACAATTCACAACTGAGAAATTTAAAAAGTACAGTGTTATCAAAGAGAATTTCGCTTTTTCTATAATAAATGAAAATAACAATGTAAAGCATAACTCAGGTACATAGCACAAAAGGAGATAAAACATTGCATAACCTAGTAATCTTATATTTGGGGGTTACTAAATGCCACAATAGAATTACTTAGGGTGCGGTATTAAATGACTCATATACCCTTATAAATTCCATGTTTGACATCATTTAATTTTTCTCACCAACCATACTCCTTCCACCACCATCACCCTAAACACCATCACCACCACCACCCTAAGGTTGTCGGAATCACCATCACGCTAAACACCATCACCACCCTAAGGTCGCCGAAATCATCCAATTTTCTCACTACCTATCACACCAAATCAACCACTTATCATACCAAATCAACTGGAAAAAGGAAGAGGCTGACAACATGGAATCGCAACGTGGGAAGGGGGTTCGTTTGTCGGGAAACGTGGGAAAAACGCCGGCCAATTCGTCAGTAAGTTTTTTTTTTTTTATTTTTTTTATTTTCGCACAAAAACCATAGTCGCGTGTTATATGTGACTCCACCACGGCATAGTCGCATATAGCATGCGATTACACCGTGGTGGAGTCGCATGTAGCGTACGACTACGCCACGGTACAGTCGCATATAGCACGCGATTCTACCACGGTGTAGTCGCATGTAACATGCAACTATACCGTGGTATAGTCGCATATAACATGCGATTGGGTACAACGAAAATTGAAAAAAAAGTCCGACATATACTTGACCCGACGGTTCGTCGTCCCCACGAAGTGCCTCCGATATGAACTCTGACCGTCGTCGACTCATTTTATATGTCGTGGGTGGTGGACCATTCAAGGTGGAGTCATGGTGGACCAGTCAAGGTGGAGTTGTGGTGGACCGGTCAAGGTGGAGTCGTGGTGGTGGACCAGTCAAAGGTGAGTGGTGGAGCTAATGGTCACGGTGGAGCTAAGACAAAGTTAGTAGTTGATAATGGTTGGATTGTTATATAATTTTTAAAATTATAAGGGGCATGAAAGTCTTTTAATACTATAACTTGAGTAATTTCATTGTGGCAAATAGCAATTCAGTATTTTTTTGTCAAAAATTCCTCCAAACCTGTAATTGCTTACTCCCTTAATTTTGAGAATAATTAGGGATTTAGGAAGAAAGATGAGACATTGAAAGAGAAACAGTCGATGATTTGATAGGGTTTAATTTTTTATGAAAAAGAGCAAAATCTCTAAAAACTACTTTGAGTTGTTTAAAGTTTGCCGTTTTAGTTTCTCTAAAATAGCTATAAAGTTGGTTTTTTTAGCTATTTACCACACTTTTTTTTTAAAAAAAAAAAAAACACAAAAATAGTAGTGATGCCAAACACACCTTTAGTCTGTTCTCATTTACTTAATTTCATTTCATTTCAGCTTAGTTCAGCTCCAATCAGTTCAGTTTAGTTCAGCTCCAATCAGTTCAGCTCCTCATTTCCCTCTCTCACAAAATATTCATTTCAGCTCCAATCAGTTCAGTTCAGTTCAACTCTAAAAGTTCAATTCAGTTTAGCTCACTCCAGTAAATATGAACGGACCCTTAGAGCATCTCCAATGGTTTAATTATAAGGACTTGCTTGCAATATTAATAAAATTCCTAGCTACATGGTTACCATTGGAAAACAAAAAATTGAGCAACATGCTAGCAATTGTAGCTCAAACAAGCTACATGCTTGATTGAAAAATAGACAAATAAACTCCACTCATGTTGTAACATGTGTATAATTATTTATTTATTTTGTAAAATATATTTTTTACAAATTAATAAATGTTGTAGCTTACCATTGGAACACCGAGTTGCTAAAAAGTACTGTAGCTTAAAACTTAATGTGAAAAAGCAAGCTACAAAGTATTGTAGTTTGCTATTGGAAATGCTCTTAGTAATCCTTTGTCATTAAAAAAAAAAAAAAAAAAAAAAAAAGAGTTAGTAATCCTATCCTAATCAAATTAGTTAATTAAAGTTGTTGAACTGGAAACGAATTTTATGACCGTTAATTTTTTTGTGAGTTCACAAAATCACAAAGCACATCACATAAAATTACATACGAAAACAACGTCACAAACATCGAGCACAATAAAACAACAAAACACATTTCAAATTATTTTAAAAAGACTTATTCAATTGCCTTCCAACGGTTACCCTTTCTCTCTCCTAAACTTGCCAAATTTACAGTCTTTCTCTCTCTAGCCATTTTCGTCACTTTTCACAGAAAATTTCAGCAGCTAAATATCGTAGGCAGAAAAAATGAAGGGGATGAAAGGGAAATTGATGAAGAAACTCAAAACAGTGAAGCAAATTGGGTATTTAAACCCAGATCGAATACTTCAGGTTAGTGCTTTTGATGGGTTTGTTGATAATTTCCACTTAAAATCTACTTTTGTAGACAATTTCCCTTTTAAATCTAATAATAAATCACATTTTTCCCCTAAATCAAATTCAAAATCACAACCCAAATCGAAAAAACCCGAGGTTATTGATGTTGAGACTCTCATGAAAGACATTGAAGAAGAAGGTACTAAAGATGATTTTGATGAGAAAGAAAATGCTCGTCCTTCGATATTGAAAGACCCATTTTGTGAACTGGGGGTTTTGAGTTCTTGTTACAAAGAATCGAAGAAACAGAGTGATTTTGATACTTCAAATTGTGAAGAATTGAAGAAACAGAGTGATTCTGAAATGGAGATGTTAAGTTCAAATTGTGAAGTTTTGAAGAAACAGAGTAATTCTGAAATTGAGATATTAAGTTCTAATTTTGAAGAATTAAAGAAGCAGAGTGTAAATTATGAAGAATTGAAGAAACAGAGTGAATCTGAAATGGAAATATTGAGTTCTTGTAGCAAAGAATTGAAGAGAGATAATGATTCCGAATCCGAGGATTGGAGTTTTAGGCGGCCTGATATGGATTCAGGCACCTTATTTGATCCTAAACTTCTCGCCGCTTTCGAAGAAGCAGTGAAAGAGCATATCAGAAGCAAAGAATCAGCTCAATTGGAAAATACTAGCAAAAATCACAAGTACCCATTTTTCCTACCTGAAGATCAAGCTGACCCATTAATCGAATTCGACGAAAAAACCAACCCATTGGAAGAATTCAAAGAAAAATGTCCTCCAGGAGGTGAAGATTCAGTAATTTTCTACACAACAAGCTTGAGAGGTATAAGAAAAACATTTGAGGATTGTCAATGCATTCGATTTCTCCTCGAAAGCTTCGGGTTGATCTATTATGAGAGAGATGTGTCGATTCATTCGGAGTTTCGAGAAGAATTGTGGAGGATAATGGGGGAGAAATGTTTACCTCCAAGGTTGTTTATTAGAGGAAGGTATATTGGAGGAGCAGAGCAAGTTTTGACATTGAATGAACAGGGGAAATTGAGGCCTTTGTTTAGAGATATACCAATTAATTTTAGTGAAGGGCCTTGTAATGTTTGTTGTGGGTTGAGATTTATCTTGTGTTACAATTGCAATGGAAGTAGGAAGATTTTTGAGCATAATGATCAAGAAGAAGAAGGTGGATTATGGAGTAAATGCTTGCAATGTAATGAGAATGGTTTGGTTGTTTGCCCACTTTGTTGATGTATTTTTTTTTTTTTTTTTTTTTTTTTTTTTTTTTTTTTTGTGTTGGTTCTTTGGTATATGTTTATTATTCTTTGATTCACTTATTTGTTATATATAATATTTATCATTAATTATATGTGTAGATGTACATGAGATTTTGCTGTGAAATGCTAGAAGGTGTTCGGAAGTAAGATGTATGAGTTTTTCTGGATACCATTCTTTTTGTATATATTATTAGCCTAATCTTCTCATTCGATCCAAGATAATGCTTGGTTCATATGATGTATTGAGATATTGATTTATCAAATGTTGCTTATATCTAATTATATTTGACAATACAAAGTTGGAGGGAATAAGGGCCTGTTCTCATTGACTGAACTGAACTGAAATGAATATTTTATAAGAGAAGGAAATTAGGAACTGAACTGAACTGAGCTGAACTGAACTGAACTGAACTGAGTTAAATTGAACTGAACTGAACTGAGCTGAGCTGAACTGAACTGAACTGAGCTGAACTGAATTGAATTTCAACGTAAGAGAACAGACCCTTAAGTGATAGTTATTGTTAGGCAATGTATACAACTAAAACAAGGAGAAAAAATAATTACTCCCTCAATTGTTTTTTTTCCCCTTTAATTTTATTTGCATCACTTCTCATTTAGGTGTTTTTTTTAAATGCATCATTTATATATTTGATAACTTCATACTATATTTTATCATTTCTCTCTCTTACTTTAAAGCTCACTCAAATTATTTTATCATTTCTCTTTTTTCCATAGTCTCCACTTAAATAATAAAATATTCATCATCTCTCACATACTTTCTCTTTTATGGTCTCCATCTTATTTTTACAATAATTTTTTCACTCACTCACAATATTATATTACTCTCTTCAAAAAAAAAATTATATTAGTGCAATCCCAAGTGATGCAAATAAAAAAAAAAACGGAGGGAGTATAAAAAAGGGGTGGGGGGGTATGAGAGAGAGTATAATTTTATTTTATTACAGAGTATAAAAGTGAAGATTACAAAAAACGTTTTACAATGATAAATTATCTTTGGATTTATATTGCTATAAAATACTACGAGAGAAATGGAGAAATTTTATAACTAGATGAAACCTGTGCGATGCTCGCTTTGTTTGTATTTTTTTTTCAAATAAATAAAATATTTTACTATATATTTGTGATATTTGCTTGGTTACTACTTGATTTTTTTTTTATTATAAAATAAATTATTAACTTTGTTTCTCATATTTAGATAAAATTCGTAATATAAAAAGATAATATTTTCTTTCACAAAATTTCATATATGGTTGGTCACGTCGTGTGGTTGGGGTTACTTGGTCAAGAGTTGATAAAGGGTTACTCAATCGATCAAGGGTTACTCATCAGGGGTTACTCGGTCAGTGTTTGAGTGTCTCAACCAGCCACATAATATGACTAGCTACATAAAAACGGGTTGGTTTTATTTTTATAATTAATGTAAATTTTTTTATCTAAAATAAATTGCAATTCTTTTTTTCATTGGCTAAAATATAACATTTTCCTTTTAAAATATCTTTTTTTTACAAGAACTTTTACAATATCTTGAAAAAACTCTCCGTTACGTAATTTTTGTAAACAATTATCATAATGTTAGTTTCATTAATCACCCAAATTAATCATTTAATTTTATTCATGATAGTTTTGTAAAAATATTAATATTATGTGTCGTGTAGCGTTTTCAAAATATTAATCCTATGTGGCGCCTTTTTATTATAATCATAAGCATAGCTTAAAAAAATTTAATCTTACATGGCATAATGGGATTGTTGCATTTTAAAAAATAATAATCCTACATGGAGCTCTAATAATTTTAAGAACTCGTGATGCTCTAAGAACTCGGGAAAAAGACTCCCATATATATATATATATATAAAAGATTTATGAATGAAACACAAGGCATAAAGATAACATCCTTACAATGATATATATTCACTTAATCAATATAGACAGTAAGTTGCATTATTTAGTGCTAAGTGGCAAGAAATTTTGTATCATGCATTAAATAAGACTGATTCCATTTGTCAAACATTGTGGGGCATTTATTTACATAATCTTATCATGTCACATAACACCTCCCTTGAATGTCCATATGAAATGGGGTATAAGTTGTTTCATAAAACCTTGGTAGATAAAACCATACTGGGTAAATACCTTAGCTATATATGAAATAATAAGAGTATAACAAATTTTATGAAGTCATTTAATGCATTGCTTCGTTAAACACTTTGTTACGACCTAATGGAAGGGAGAAAGAGTGCAATGTATTAATTTTCCCCTTGATTATGACTAGGGATGTCAGTGGGGCGGGGCGGAGCGGATGTTGGCCTTCCCATCCCCATCCACACCTAATATTTTCAATTTTTCATCCCCATCCCCATCCCCGCGGCGGGTCCAATTTTCATCCCCATCCCCGCCCTACCGGGTACAACTCCAAAACCATCCCCGCCCCACCCCCCACTTGGATATCCATCCCCACCTAATCCCCACCAAAGACCCGCCTAATCCCACCCAAGATCCACCCAATATCCGTATCTCAAATACACAATCTTACATAATTAATACAAATTATAAAATAAAACATTCTATACACATTTTTGTGTTATAATATAAGTGTCGTACAAAGTATTATAATTAATATTGTATTTCATGTAATTATTTTATAAATAGAATAAAAGTATGTAATTTTGCTTTAAAAGATATATAAATGTGGGTATGAGGTGGGGATGAAGCGGGTACGAAGTGGGGTGGGTGGGGCGGGGCGGGGATGGGGCGGGTATAACTTAAAATCCACCCCCGCCCCATCACCCATGTCGGGTATGGTTTTTATCCCCATCACCGCCCCACCACCCGCCAAACCGAGACCCATCCCCGCCCCATTGGGGCAGGGATGGGGCGGGTCTCCTACTTGACCCGCCCCACTAACATCCCTAATTATGACATAGCTCACAAAGGTAATGCTTTTTGTTTTGGGTAAAAATACCCCTAGACACGTGGACCAATGAGAGAGGCCCACGTGTCAAGCTCTAGCAGGTCACCACTGGCCACTCACCAGTTGACACATGGCAACCTCAAAGAATAATCAGAATTGCGGCCTTCAAAGGCCCAATTCCCGAGGAATCTGCACTTTGCGGCGTAGCCCACAAAGCCTAGATCAGAGTGACCTAGGGAGGGGGACTTTTCCCAACGACCCTATAAATAGGGAGATATTCTCCCAATTTGGGGACAGATTGAATCATTTATTACATCCATTTTCTCTCTCATCAGAGAAAACCTGATCTCGGAATCCGAGAAGATCCCACCTAAATTTCCGCACTTTTTCCTTTCATTCAAGTTCTAACTTGATCTTTGGAGGCGGAGCTCCTATCACCCGGAGTCTCCGTTGATTTTGCAGGTAAAACTCGAGCCAGACCAATCTTTGTGACATAACTCTCCCGAGGGATAAAAACACCCAAAACATTTAGCGCCGTTTGTGGGGAGAGAACCTCAAGGATGGTTCAAGAGTCTGTACCACTTCCTGACCAACCGGTTAACCAGATAGAGGTCTTTACACTACTAGAAAACACCTTAATTGCGACGGAAAAAGTTCGTCGTAAACAATGTAAATTCCGTCGTAAAGTTGGTTTACGACGAAATTCCGTCGTAAATGGTTGTCGGAAAACCCTTTGTAGGAAAATGGCCATTTTACGACGGAAATTCCGTCGTAAACCAACTTTACGACGGAAATAATATCGTCGGACTTGGAATTGGCCTTTGATGAAGTTCCGTCGCAAAATATAATTTACGACGGAATTTTCCCTCGCAAAATATAATTTGCGACGAATTTTCCCTCGCAAAATATAATTTGCGACGGAATATTCCCTCGCAAAATATAATTTGCGACGGAATATTCCCTCGCAAAATATAATTTGCGACGGAATATTCCCTCGCAAAATATGATTTGCGACGGAATTTTCCGTCGCAAAATATAATTTACGACGGAATTTTCCGTCGCAATGTATATTTGTACGATGGAAAATTCCGTCGTAAATCATATTTTGCGAGGGAAAATTCCGTCGCAAATTATATTTTGCGAGGGAAAATTCCGTCGCAAATATGTAAATTACGACGAAATATTCCGTCACAAATTGTATTTCCAGCCCAAAACAAATTTTTGTAATTTTCTGCATTTTCAAACCTGAATTTTTTTAATGATAAATCGACAAAAAAATAAAATAAATATTCAGTCCTAAAATTGTTGTTTTTAAAAAATTAATTACCGACCTACGAAATTAGGACATATATATATAATAATTATGTCCTACTACAAAAGATAGTCCACATTTTGGTATCTATACCAAACAAAAGCTAGGTTAGAGTGATTCTATGCTAGACTAAAGCTAAGCTACGCAATCGCCTGGAAACCCTGGCCTGCTCCACCACCACCCGGGTCATTCCTAGGGTCTCGATGCTGAGGATGAATGGTGGAACATGAGTCGTTGTTGTTGAGACGACTCATCATCTCATCGAAACTCTCCTTGTATCTCCTCTCCATTTCAGCCATTCGGGATTCCATTTGAGTTTGAAGAGATTGCACCCTGTGTTCCATCTGGTCTTGCATTTGAGAAATGACATACGGCGTGTATTGCTGTGAAGAACGGGAACCTCGACCCTGTTTGCCATAGTAGATCTCTGCACTTTGGCCAAGTCCCTTCACACGCCCCTTCTTATTGCGCCCACCCACCGACTCCCAGTACAACTCATTGGGACTCTTCTGAATCCCCTGACTCATTGTTTCTTCGAGCTTCTTCTGGTAGGTGTCCTACAAAATATTGAAGATAAAATAAAATATTGTTAAAAAAAACAACCAACAATATGGAGTCATATCGCATACTTTTAGGTGCCTAAGGATAGAAATTAAGAAAATTAAGCACATATGTCAATTTTCAACCCTCACTCATCCAAAATCATCCAAATTTGGCCTATATGGCTAAAACAATGCTTATTTTCTAAGTTTTCAAGCAAATGTAAGGTTTCTTTCTTCTAACATTCCAATATCAATTTCTTTTAAGTGCCTAAGGATAGAGATTAAGAGAAATAAGCACATATGTCAATTCTCAAACCCTCACTCCTCCAAAATCATCCAAATTTGGCCTATATGGCTAAAACCATGCCTATTTTCTAAGTTTTCAAGCAAATGGACTCGTTCTTTCTTCTAACATTCCAATATCAATTTATTTTCAGTTCCTAAGGATAGAAGTTAAGAGAAATAAGCACATATGTCAATTTTCAACCCTCACTCCTCCAAAATCATACAAATTTGGCCTATATGGCTAAAACCATGCCTATTTTCTAAGTTTTAAAGCAAATGGACTCGTTATTTCTTCTAACATTCCAATATCAATTGCTTTTAAGTGCCTAAGGATAGAGATTAAGAGAAATAAGTACATATGTCAATTTTCAAACCCTCACTCCTCCAAAATCATCCAAATTTGGCCTATATGGCTAAAACCATGCCTATTTTCTAAGTTTTCAAGCAAATGGACTCGTTCTTTCTTCTAACATTCCAATATAAATTTCTTTTAAGTGCCTAAGGATAGAGATTAAGAGAAATAAGCACATATGTCAATTTTCAAACCCTCACTCCTCCAAAATCATCCAAATTTGGCCTATATGGCTAAAACCATGCCTATTTTCTAAGTTTTCAAGCAAATGGATTCGTTCTTTCTTCTAACATTCCAATATCAATTTCTTTTAAGTGCCTAAGGATATAAATTAAGAGAAATAAGCACATATGTCAATTTTCAACCCTCACTCCTCCAAAATCATCCAAATTTGGCCTATATGGCTAAAACCATGCCTATTTTCTAAGTTTTCAAGCAAATGGACTCGTTCTTTCTTCTAACATTCCAATATCAATTGCTTTTAAGTGCCTAAGGATAGAAATTAAGAGAAATAAGCACATATGTCAATTTTCAACCCTCACTCCTCCAAAATCATCCAAATTTGGCCTATATGGCTAAAACCATGCCTATTTTCTAAGTTTTCAAGCAAATGGACTCGTTCTTTCTTCTAACATTCCAATATCAATTTATTTTAAGTGCCTAAGGATATAAATTAAGAGAAATAAGCACATATGTCAATGTTCGACCCTAACTCATCCAAATTCATCTAAAATAAGCATATATTGAGTTCTACTTTGCTAATTTGCCATATTTCAACTCATATAATAAGTGTTTACCGCAATCCTTTTTGCTTTGTTGTTGGCAGCCACTTGGCCTTTACCAGGCACTTCCTTGAAGTGTGTCTTCAAGAATAGATCATGGGCATTTGGTAATTGGCCTTGGATTTTTGCAGCCTTTATATGTACATGCAGAAAATCAATGAAAACATGTTAGCCCACCAAAATTCATTAATAGACAAATGACATAATTGTTACTGGACATATTGTAGTAACCTTACCATCTTTTTAGCATGTTATACAGATGACATTGAACCTTGAAAGTGGGTCGGTTCAACGACATTTTCCATGGATCCGCCTCTTCGGTTCTTCTTGTTTTGTTCCGACCGCTTCTGATATTTTGGATCGGTGGCAACAATTTTCATCATGCCTTCGTGGACAACCTTATTAAGCCATCTTGGTTTGCGACCATTCAGTCTGTGTGTGATGTTGTAGAACGTGTCACGTAGGCGATTTGCAAACTTTTCTTCGAAAGTGTCCTTCACTTGGTTGTTTAACTCAAGTGCCCACTTGAATTTTTTCTGCAAATCAAGAAAATGTCTTTATTACAAAATTCAACTCCATCAATATAATTTATAAAAGTTTTTTTTAACGTGCATTTTTACTATTTCGAAAAGGATGATTTGTCGGAAAGAATTGACGATGGCAGTCAAACCAAGAAACCTTACCACAATTTTCGAGCCAAAATGCTTTGCTTTTCTCCATGCAATATGGACAAGCCTTCTTACCGGCTGTGGTCCAACCAGATAACATACCATAAGTCGGGAAGTCACTAACGGTCCATAGGATGGCTGCTCGAAGATTGAAATTTTGTTTTCTCGAAATATCGTAAGTATTTGCCCCAACTTCCCACAATTGTTTCAACTCGTGTATGAGCGGCTGCATGTAAACATCCAAGTTGCCCTTAGGGTTTTTAGGACCAGGAACGAGTAACAAAAGAAACATGAACTGTCTTTTCATACACATTGACGGAGGCAAGTTATAAGGGGTCAAAATGACAGGCCAACATGAATACTGTCCCCCAAACTGACCATGTGGAGCAAATCCATCCGTACATAGGCCAAGTCGAACATTACGAGGTTTAGAGGAAAACTCAAGAAAACAACTATCTAGGTGTTTCCACGCTTCACTATCGCTAGGGTGTGCCATTGTGCCTTGAACTCGAAGATTTTTAGCATGCCATGTCATTTCCTCAGAAATGTTTTTAGTTGCAAAAAGCCTTTGCAACCTAGGTGTGATAGGGAAATAAAATAGAACATTCAAAGGCACTAAGCTACCTTTAGAAGTCTTCTTGTATCGGTCGCTGCCACACACCCTACATGTAGATAATTGAGCATCATCTTTCCAAAACAACATACATCCTTTCGGGCATGCATGAATCTTTTCATGGGGCAGCTCTAACCCCTTAACAATTTTCTTGATCTCATAGAATGTCTCGGCCATGTGGTTGTTAGGAATCGCTTCATTAACCAAAGAAGCAAATCCATCAACACATCTGTGCGGTAAATTATACTCACACTTTAGGCTAGTGATTCTAGAAGCCATCTCTAACACAGACAATGAACTCCCTTCGTACAACGGTTGTTCAGAAGCCCTTAACAAATCAAAAAATGGCTTGGCTTGTGCATTAAGCTCCTCCTCTAATGAAACAGGTGGCTCTTCGGAATGGCCTTGATCTTGAGACTGACCAAAGGCATCCAAAACCATTTCACGATATTCATTTGACTCCCTTCTACGAGTTCCTGGAAACCCTTCCCCATGACACATCCACTCGTAGTAATTAGGTAAAAAAACCGCTGCGATACAAATGAAGTTTGACCGTATCTGGATCCCAGAGACGTTTGTTTTTGCATTTAAAACATGGACACCTAACTTCATTCGGGTTGCTACTCTCGGGATGATCTTCCACATATTTAAGGAATTCATCTACCCCCTTCAAGAACTCAGGATTAATAGAATTCCCAACCTTCCTTTCGTACATCCAGCTACGTTCTTTTCGTTTCATGATTACAAGTTCTACACAACTAACACATATGCCATTAATCACATTAGTCATAAAGCACAATATATATTCATTGTAGATCAAACTGTTATGGAAATGCAAATGAGAAGAGAAATGATTTCCAAGGGTCCTTATCACTCCAACCTAACCCATCCTTGTACGTTCAATCTCACTAGTGAATGTATGCCAGAATTTCAATTCTATGGAAAATCCGGCAGCATCTCCCTACAGTTCCCCGAGTACACAATATAGGCGATTAGAAACACCTATATATGTACCTAGAGAATATTGTAGAGAAATGATAAGCAAGGATCTTACTTAGAATTAAAACAAAGGAATACATTCACCACCTAAGTGAGAATAAACGTACAAGGACAGTCCCAACCGGGGACTATTCAAGACATACTCCTAATGTGTATGCCTTGAACGGGTATCTAGGTATATGATTATGCAAATGATTTTTTTAAAAAATATATATACTTAACTAACATACATATTATTAAACAAATATATCAAGATTAAACTAAACAAGAGAAACAAATCAAACCAAACCAAAGTAAACTAATATATCATATTAAACTAAACCAAACCAAACTACCGTTTTATATATTAAATTAAACTAACATATTTCTAAAAAAACTAAACTAAATTAAGATACTTTATATTAAAATAAATTAAACTACAACACATTATATTAACATAATATTAACTAAACTACATTATGTTAAACTAAACTAAACCAAACTAACATTGTTTATTTTAAAGATCAAGGGAGCAATTAATTAATTATAAGATTTATTTACAAATATATATACTTAACTAACATACATAATATTAAACAAATATATCAAGATTAAACTAAACAAGAGAAACAAATCAAACCAAACCAAAGTAAACTAATATATCATATTAAACTAAACCAAACCAAACTACCGTTTTATATATTAAATTAAACTAACATATTTCTAAAAAAACTAAACTAAATTAAGATACTTTATATTAAAATAAATTAAACTACAATACATTATATTAACATAATATTAACTAAACTACATTATGTTAAACTAAACTAAACCAAACTAACATTGTTTATTTTAAAGATCAAGGGAGCAATTAATTAATTATAAGATTTATTTACAAATATATATACTTAACTAACATACATAATATTAAACAAATATATCAAGATTAAACTAAACAAGAGAAACATATCATAACACCATACTATTAATATAAACCAAATCAAACCAAACTAAAGTAAACTAATATATTATATTAAACTAAACCAAACCAAACTACCGTTATATATATTAAATTAAACTAACATATTTCTAAAAAAAACTAAACTACAATAAGGTACTTTATATTAAAATAAATTAAACTAAAACACATTATATTAACATAAACTTAACTAAACTACATTATGTTAAACTAAACTAAACCAAACTAACATTATATTGTTTTTTTAAAGAGAAGGGAGCAATTGACTACTTATAAGAGATCACCAATGTCACTAAATTAACCAAACTAAAAGTTATTGAATATCTAACAACCAAAGTAAGATACACATATACATTATATTAGGGTTTGTAATGTAACTAACCTTTAGATCTGCACTTCTTTTTAACAATTAAACCAAAAAAATTGTACAAATCCTACAACAAAATTAAAAAAAAAAATTAAGGGTTTATAATTCAAATTAATGCAACAAAATTCAAGCAAATCAGAAAAAAAAAATAAAAAATAAATAAAAAAAAAGAATTCGAGCATTTATGAATTTGTCATCTAATTAATCACCTTAATCGTTCCCTCTCTAGAAAAAATATAAAAATGCAAACATAATTCAACAAAATTAACGATTCCAGAATAATTAGCTACTAACACAAAATTGAAATAATTACTTCGTAAAATCCTGATTTAACAAACCATTAGCACAATTCCTGAGAAAATATAGCATAGTATCATAAAAATTAGCACATTAAGCAAGAAAAATAGCAGTAATTTTGCGATCGTTTGGCCACAGAGTTCGAGCAGCCAACTAAATGATATTCAATTGAGCACACTTACTGTCAGGCGGAGGTGGGGCGTCGCCGGAAACAACCAAGGGCCGGTGGGTTCAGTCACGGCTAGGAGACGGAGGTGCGGCTGCGTTGTGGTGGTTATATGTTATTCCGGTAGTTTTTTGCAAAAAAAAAAAAAAAAAAAAAAATTAATTGACAATTGCACACACTTACCTAGACGCGACGGCTCGCCGGAAACCACCAGGGCTCGACAGCTCTCCCTTCCTCCCTTCCTCCTTATCTTTCTCTTTCCCGTTCTCTTTCTCCTCTCTCTTTCTTTCCCGTTCTTTTTCTCCTCTCTGTTTCCCGTTCTCTTTCTCGGCGCCTGATGTGCGTCGTCTGCAGGCGTCGCCGGCGTAAAGAAATCACCACCGCCGCCGCAACTTTCTCCTCTCTCCTTCTCTCTCTCCTTCTCTTTCTCTCTCTCCTCGCGCTGCTTCACTTCTCTCTCTGATTTTCAATTATTTCCCCCTTTTTTTTAGGGCAAGGTCGCAACTTTTAATTTTCAAAAAATGACAGTAAGATTTACGATGGAATTTATTTCCGTCGTAATTTAAAACTTGCGACGGAATATTCCGTCGCAAAACACTTTACGACGGAATATTCCGTCGCAATTTAAATTACGACGAAAATAAATTCCGTCGTAAATTTTATGAGGGAAAATGCGTCGTAATAGAAATTTTCCGTCGCTAAATTGCGACGAAATATTTTCCGTCGAAAATATCCACCTTTACGACGGAAAATCATATCCGTCGTAAGCATTCCGTCGCAATTTAGCCTATTTCTAATAGTGTTTACTGACCAAGTGGATGATGATCCTTATGTTGAAACCTATATAGCCAAGGATGGCTCTCTTATAAACAAGCGCATCCGTCCCAGAGACACTCTGGAAAGGGGTGCAAGCCAGGTGGGTACAAGCCGACCCCTTGGTCAGCCGAAAAGGGAAACCCATACGGCAGGTGGATCTGCCCCAGTCACCTGGGACGAACTCATGAAATTCATGACTAATTTCAAGGGTGAAATCAAGGATCTGATCACCAAGAGCCGGGCTGGCCCAAGTAAGGGACAGTTGGCAAGAAAGACTAGGGGTGAGCATGGGACGAGTACCCGTACCGTTAGTACTAACTGTTCGGGTATCCGATAACCAAAATCACTAAAAGTGATACCCATAACCGAAACCGATAAGTTCGGGTACCCGAATTTTGGGTACCCGGATTTTCGGATCGGTTATCGGGTACCAATAAGATATCCATAATGATAATTAAACTTAATTATTTAGTTATTATGATATAATTTACAACTAATTAAAAACAATACCATATGATCTTGACCAAATTATTAATAATATTACTAATCATTGATATTATAAAATGATTATGAAGTAAAGTAAAAGTTTAGATTTATATTAATAGATTTAAGTAGGGAAAAAAAGCAAAAAAAATGCTTATCGGATCGGATCGGGTAACCGTTCATTTTAAAATGATACCCATAACCATACTCGATAACAAGTTATCGAAACAGGTACCCGAACCGTTATGGTTATCGGATAAGGTACCCTAATTTTCGGAACGGTTACAGATCGGTTTTTCGGGTAGTTTTGCTCAGCCCTAAGAAAGACCCCTCTAGAAAAGAGGAAGCCAGTCAGGGACATGCATCCAACTCCCCATCCAAAGGACAAGGTAGCCAGGACCCTTGACTGGTCCAAGATTCTTCTACCCCAGAGGAATACAAGAAGCACCCGCCGGAGTGAACAGCCGGTGGGAAACAAAAAATCAACTCCTGATGCTCGGGAAATCATCACCCGTAGGAGGAATCAACAGCTGTCTAAGTCAGCCTCCACCTCAAGATTTCTAGACAGCTTTAAGAATCTGTAGGGAATGCTCAATCCTTGCATGAGAGCCATACAAACAATAATACCGTCCACTCTGGCCCTCAGATGATTGGAAATACACCGTATGTACCGCCTATCGTCTACGAGCCGTATTCTCCTCATTTCATGCAGCCGGCCCTCTTCGGAGATCAAGCAGCATATATCAATGTCCAACCACTAGACTGGCAGCTTCGTCTGCTCCGCCTTGGTGAACAACCTTTTGCGTTCACCAGGGAAATAACCGAGGCGACACAGCCTGCCAAGGTTAAAAACGTGTTGGTAGGTACTTTTGATGGTACCTCCAACCCGAAAGACCACCTCATGGCATACACCAACCTCATGTATTTACATGGGTTGGAAGATGCCACTTGGTGTCAATGCTTCCCGGCTACATTGAAGGGCATTTCCCAACAATGGTTTGGCATTTGCCAGCCGCCTCTATTGATAGCTTCAAGAAGCTTGCCTTCTTGTTTGCTTCTAACTTCTCAATGAACATCCCTGCGAAGAAAACAAGTCTTGACTTGAGCACCATTAAGCAGAGAGAGAGAGAATGATTACGCTCCTACGTCAGGCGGTTCAATCTGACAAGAATTAAGATTCAAGGACTATCTGACGAGGTAGCTTTCACAAACTTCTTTAAGGGTCTGAGATACAGGTCGACTTTTAAATTCGACCTTGTCAGAAAAGGGGCATTTACCCTGCAGGCGGCCCTAAGGGAGGCGGAAAGATACATTCAAGTAACCAACCTCTGCTCTCCTAGCAGCCAGTCAGACTCCAAGAAGTCTAACAAACAAAAAAACAGTCGGACTGCCCAGCTAGAGACAAAAAAAGAAGAGAGCAAGAAGAGAAAAGAAGTCTGGGCGGTGGGTGACTCTGACCAGCCGTCCTAGAAGAAAAAGAAAGAGTTTAAACCGTACGTCCTCAAGTACGAGTTTAACAAGGACTGCAACTCTATCCGCATGGAGATCAAGGATCGGCT